TCATATGCACTCGGCTCCTGCGTCAAGAACATCCTGCGCTGCAACGCCGCCCTAGCCTCCTCACCAGGGTCACACTTTGCCAGCTTCTCATAATCATACCACACCAGCACCTCGTCGCACTCCGTCACGATACGGCGCTGCGCGTATGAGTAGATCGCGTCCATGAGGTGGAAGTGGGTCTTGAGGAAGTGGCGCTGGCCGAACTCCATCTTGTGCACGTCTGAGGTCGAGACGAGCGGGCCGGGGTGCGGCTTGTGCGCGATGAGGAGCATGTCGGAGTAGACGACGGGCTGCTTGTAGTCGATGGAGATGGTCTTGAGGATGAGCGAGATGCCACGCCCGGCGAGCATGTCGTCCGCTCGGGAGGCGCCGCCGATTTCTTTGCCTAGGGAGACCATCCACTCGATCCGGGATGACTCGAGGAAGCGCACTGACCCGAATACCTATCAGCTGACGTGCTGCTTCATCTACGCATCGAACGTACCATAGTGCATGTTGTTCACATGTCTGGAGTGAGCGTGTTTAAATGATATAGACGGAGGTCAGGGGTTGACTAGACTGACTGGAAGGCATCGTGGTCACCCCACACGATCCGCTGCTCCCAGAAGCTGCTCGGGTCATAGCCCAGCTCTAGCATCTTTGTGCGGGCGTGCTCTGCCCGCGTCTCCTGGGCTTCAGTGTGCAGGAACTCGACGGGGGGATCTGGGGAGGCGGGGCCTTGCGTTCCAGGCGGTAGGTGGAATGGCGAGGACAGGTCACAGAAGGCATCTTGTAGGGACTACTGGAGGGGTAGTGTGTGCCGTCAGTATTGTGTACGTGAGAGAGTGATCGAGAATAGAGTCTCTGTCTGGCATGCTAGTGATCGTCCAGATGGAAGCGCCCACTTCGCGTCATATGCAGGCGCCCATCGTCTCACCTGCACTGTCTCACTCGCTTGCACTCATCCCCCGCCTGTGTCCACCATGCGTACCTGTCCCGACGTGCACTCTCTGTTCCCCTGCAAGCCATCCAATCCGCGCGCCACCTGTCCACTCTCCGACGCGTTGCGCCCACTGTCCAAGACGCGCATATGCCATGGCTGCCAGATATATCTCGGCGAGATACGACCGTGCAGTATCGTGGAGACATGGCCCTTTCAAGAGTACAGAGGTGTAGCACAGGCTACAGGGGCACATCGAATGCTGCAGCTCATTCGCAAAGCCTGGTAAGCCGCTTATGTTTCAGTCACACTGAACTGTATTCCATTCCTTTCCAGCTACTTTCGACATTCCCTCGTCATCCTCCCCTTCTCCTCCAACACCTTGATAACATCCCTGCACCCTGCGACCCTTATCCGCCATCGAATCCCTCCATCGCCGACGATCCGCTCACCCGACTCTCCCATTACTATCCCTTTCCATCCAACTCGCCTTCGCCCATACCATCCCGCGCATATCATTCAATCCCGCTCTCCTTGTTGCAATCGGAAGATCACGCCTCACGAACGACCCGACCGTCTCATCGACGGTACTTGACTGACCTCTCCACGCTGAGTGCGTCAATGCCGAATCATCGAACGCGCTGCCTCGTACCGAAACCAGACCGCGCGTCGGGGCCACGCCGCTGCGATAGAAGATGAAGACGTGCCTTGCGCTCACCGCTGATGCAAACGGACCAAGCCGTGGACTGTGATTTGACGCGATGCACAGCAGATGCTGGGAAACGTTTGACACGGTGAGCATTGCACTTTCCTACACACCTGCTACTCGATTCTTCGCGCGTACATGTCGACTAGGGCGGTCTCTATGCTCAATCGCCCTGTTCGCGTTGAGGATGCTGTCGACCTCGTTAGATGTGTGGATGACCAGAGCGTACCGAGACGCAGGCAAGATGTTGACTACGCGGATACTACAAATGACGAGGCGCGCGACGAGAGACGGCCAAGCCCGATTGCAATCGTCATTCGCGCTCACCCGCGTCGCACTCGGGCTGGACATGCCCTCGTGCGCTCGTTGCCGTCCTGCTGTCCGTGGCTTTGGACTGCGAAGCAAGGCATGGGCACTGATCACTTTTTTTTTCGCGCTGACAATCCTACAGACAGCATGATCAAAGAAGTGCGCAAGAGAAACAGGGGGATGGCCTACCGCATGCCAAAGCCATCATTTCACGCAGTCTCCTTCGCCAGAACACGCGCAGGACTGGCGCTTTCACGACAGGGCTTGAGGCTGTGAGTGTCGCATCCCGCCATCCATTGTCGTCGTCCCATAGGCATCCTGTATCCAGCGTGCCACTATCCAGCGACCGGTCGGAGATCACACCTGATCGTCTCTGAAATACCCGCATCCGATGCTGTCTGATGCAACTGGGCTATTCCGGCGCACTTCAAGCGATATTCGAGCAACAGAAGCTG